TGCTGAATCAGTAAGCTGCAGTTATTTGAACTACTTTGACACCAAAGGACATTAAGCTTCTTTAATTTAAGCCTGACAAAAATCTGTACTTCAAAACTTCTCTTCAATGCACAGCATAATCTTCATTTATATGATGTACTGACCTCTCTGTGCCTCATATTTTATTAATTTATTAAAACAGGGTCATCCTGGGCAACTTACAGAGAAGTATTCTGGATATTGCATAATATTTGCTGGGTAGAACAGGATTTGGTGATTTGACTTTTTATCATCCTAAGTAAACTAACCTGAGCTTCAGTGTGCATGCTTCAAGGACACACTTAATTAGGTGCTATGCTTTTTGGTTATTTTAAAGTATTTTTATATTTTTGTTTAATATTTTCTCCCAAATTAAATAATAATTCATTAGTAGCCTTAACATAGTTATTAAGAAGAGATAGGCATATGGGGTAGTTTTGCTGAAGATCCAAATACTGTGATTACTTCCTTAATACACATTGAAATCATTTGTAATATGATACGCATTATTAAACATTAGCCAAGAAGATCTGACTCAGCATAGTAACAGATATTTGTAAAGAGATAATTTCCCTAAAGTAAGAATTCTTAGAAGAAAGGTAAGATGTATGAGTGAATCATACACAGCACCCAAATACACTAATATTTAACAATTTAAAGAAAAATAAACTCATATGCAATGTTTTTCCAAGCCTACCCTCCTGTCTGGATTTGTGTCCTCAGATATGGATTTGCCCTGACTCCTTTTTTTCAGTGTATGGCCTGCCTGGCTTTCTCCACTTGCACTAAAATGCCACATCATGTTTATTTCTCTATACCTCTCTGTACATTTAGAGTCTAGAGCTCTTTCCAATTCCCCAGGCTCTTGGAGCTCCCAGCTTTGGCTTTTCCTGGCCTGACTCACTCTGCAGGTGCTCAAGCCTGGCACAGTTAGGCTAAAGCAGTAGGGATCATCAGAATTGCTTCTACTTGGCTACGGCTCTTAAAACTCCAAAATTGTGTGGTTCATTGCATGGATCTCTTTCCCTAGTGTCTGAGATGAGGGCTTTTAGAACATGGATTTTGCCATTCTTTCAAATACTGGTATATTTTAGGGTTCTACTCCAGGCCCTTTTGACTCATTCTTCACAGTTTTCATCTGTAATCTCAGCCGCTCTGTGGTTCCCAGTTGTTACTCCTTACTTCCTGTATCTGCAGCCCACATCCCGTTCCTGACCTTTGGTACTGTGGGTAACTCATGTCCATGGAGACACCTGGGTGTCTCATTGGCACCTCTGAGAGACCAACAGCTCATGCAGCATTCTCCTTGTGTATCTGATCTTTCTGCTTCTCACTTTAGTGCCTCGTACCAACATGCACCTTTGTGTCCAGGTCAGAAATCCCATATTCATTTTGATCTTTTTCTTCCTCCAAACAATGACTAAGTACTGCTGATTCTGGTTCCTAAATATCTTGGGAAATATTTTTCACTATTTCTTTTGCTGTTAACTTAAATCTTACCAGCATCATATCTCACTTGGGTTTCTGTAGCAGCCTTCTAACTGATCCTGTTTCAACCTCACTCTTTTGCAATCAGTTTCCCATGTTGCAGTTTCATGATAATGAAATCACTTGAATGTTCATTTTATCAGGTTTTCTTTCCTGCTTAAAACTTCTAAGGCTTACCTCCCTCCCTCTGGACTCCTTCTCATTCATTAGACCTTTACCTATATCCCACTTTTTTCTTAACACCTAACCTGCCCCTCTCGAACTAGTGTGAATAGTCAGTCTTTCATGTGCTTTATTGGACTGAGTGTTTCCTCTACCATAGCATTTACAGAATGTATTTATAGTATTGCCCAGGTTACTTGTCTCCAGCCCCACTAGGTCACATGTTCTATGGAGGCAGGGACTATGCTCAGCTTATTCATCTGTTTTATCTCTGTTATGGAGGACACTATTTCCCACACTGTAGGAATAGAATATAGAGGTGCAGTGATACCTTATTAGTGGTAGGAACACGTGATTGAATGCACTTATAGCAAACCATCAATCCATAAAACTTGTTGGACAATTCCTGTGGAAGGTCATGGTGCTTGGTAATTGGAATTGTGTTAGGATGAAAGGAGGGTTTGGTAATGAAAGTAAAGCTACACCAATTACGTTTATTACCCTCCTATAGGTCTTCTGTGTTTTTAAGAAATAACCATTACATGTATGAGTGTTTTGGAATAAGAATGTCTTTAAACAGCCAAAGTATGTTTTTTTTTTAACATGTGGCTAAAGTGATGTATGTAACCAGCAATTTATTTCATATTTCAGTCTTGTCAAGTTCACAGCATTATTTACCTTCTCATATATTTGTCCTACCTCCTTCATTATACCATATCTGTGGCATTATCTGTGTCATTCTATTTTGGGGAGGGTCCTCTCCTGTTTAATAGAGTACTTAAAAATAATAAATGGACAAAAGATATTCATGTGCAAAGCCTGGAATATTGCTGGCTTTTTGACAGTTTCTGAAGGAAGATTGGTATTTGGCTTGGTTTATTTTTGACTGACCTTATAACAATGGGTAGCATGCTGCTAAGATGCTATGTTGTGTTTAGATGATAGTTAATTGAAAGATTTAACTGCATAAGACATTCTCTGCTGAATTCATAGGCCTACATTGACTATGCTAATTACTCATTATCTTTTCTTGCTTGCAATGATACCATGCTAAGGAATTCACTAATACAATTTCTAAAAACTTGGAGAACTCATGTCCAGGCAGGCAAATACTGATAAAGACATTTGACAGTATAGAAGACCCAATGAGTCACACTTGTCTCTTCAGTTAGTACATATACTATCAGTAAAAATAATGGTAGAAAATAAAGGTGGAGGCTGCATATCTAGATCCCTAGGTACAGTCTGCTGAGTTACTATGACTGTCAAAAAAGCCTGGATTCATAGTTCTGAACAGCTAAAATAGTTAGGTAAGCCTCCGTTTTTGTATGCATGAAGTAGAAAATCATAAAATATGCTGGCATGAACAGGACAGAAGCTTGTTTTTGTCTCATGTGAAGAATGTCCAAAGGTAAGCAATCCAGAGGTTTTAGTTGCTCACTAAGATCATATAGTTTGGTGGTGGGAAGAGCCTTATTTCATATCTGAGAAGTTAAGACAATGATAACACCTACTTCACTGAGTTAACAGGATGCAATGATGGAAAATATGTGAAGTGTTTGGAAACATGCCTGGCTTATAGAAAGTGCTATCTTAGCCACCAAAGGCCAATATGCTAAAGACATAGTTGTCAGCTTGTGGCAGTGTTGGAGGTGGTGAAAATTTTAGGAAGTAGGGTGTAGTGGAAGGCAGATGGGTTACTAGGGCATGCCCTTGAAGGAGATATTGATACTCCAGCCCCTTTTTGTCTCTCTCTTTTCTTCCTCTTCACTATGTGGTGAGCTGACATCTTCAACCACATAATTCTCCCTCAATGGTACTGCCTCACCACAGGCACAAAAGCAATAGGGCCAAGAAACTACAGCCTGAACTCTCGGAAACGATGAGTCAGAATGAACCTCTCCTCTTTATAAGTTGCTTATCTCTAGTATTTTGTCACAGTGACCAAAAGCTGGTGTGATTTATTAATGGGGGGACACAGATTCATTAAATGATTCATTAAATGATTCCACTAACAAATGTGTAACTGACATTCTGATGTAATGAGGTTTCTGACCTAGTGTGGGGAGCTCTGGGAGGAGTTGACATCCAACTGAAAGGTATCTGAAAGGTAATTAGGTGTTTGCTAGGTGGCTAGCAGGGCTGGTTTCTGCCAGAGAACTAGTCCATCTTGAAGTATGAGGGTGCTTCTGAGAGGAGTGGAGGGAGGCTGTGTGTCTGGATTTCAGGAGATGGTGCAGAGGGGCAGAACCAGGAGGACATGGTAGAGATTTGGGGTTTTTTTTTGGTACCAGGGATCGAACTCGGGTCCTTGCGCTTGCAGGCATTGAAACCACTGAGCTAAATCTCTAGCCTGATTTGGGTTGTTTTGAAGATTGTTGGCTAGCCATCCACCAGGATGAGTGGGTGGGGGAGGGCTTTGCCATGGCTGGGTGGATATCGCTGGTTTCTGGAGCAACTCTGGCATTTTCCAAACCCTCTCTGGTTGATAAGCCCAGGAGGGGTGCTTGTAGGCAGCTGACCAGTTGTACCTTGAATCCCTATATTAGTTTGCTTCTAATAACTGATGCTAAGAACTGAATACTACAGACTGGCACAGTTATAAAGAGATTTATTTTGGTTCACAATTCTGAAGGTGCAAGGTCAAGGGTCTGCTTTTGGTCAATGACTGCTGTCTGACAGAGTCCCGAGCGACATGGATGGCACTGGTAAGTAAGAGGGAGTGTGTATGCGTCTGTCTGCCCAGTCTCTCTCGTTCTTATAAAGCCAACCAGGGTCCAATTGTGGCGCGGGGGGGGGGTGCTAATGAATGTAATCACAATCACTTTTCAAACACCACAGCTGGGTTAAATTTCAACCCTCTTAATACTGTAAGAAACAAAGTCTTTTTTATCAAAAATATAAATATGAGAATGTCTCTATCTTAAACTCTGGTTCATTCTAGGATGCCCCTGCTCTTTGTTTTGAGCAGACTGAATTACAAAGATGCTTGATCATCTTAGATTCTGGGAACAGGGCTGACAGCCAAAGATAACTTATCAACAGCCAAGGACTTTCAGTGCCTCATACCTCACTCTCCCCTCCCTTAGCAACCCTGCCCAGCAACCCTTTGCATCCTTAAACTAGCCAACCAGGGTAGATTGTGAACCTTCAACCCAGCCAATTGGGAGAAAGGTCAGCTGCTTTGACCTTTCTGTGCACCTGCTACCTCATTGCTGGGTGTGCTTGCACCCTTTTGCAAAAGTAAAAACTTGCCTTGCCTAGATTTCTTGATGTCTGAGTGCTTCATTATCTGCTCTGACAAATTGAGTCTGGGTGCTTTTTCCCAACAGTACTTCACAATGAGATCCAGTTTCAACATGTGAAGCCTTGGGGGACACACTCAACGATGTCCAAATGGCTGGGACTCTAGCTGCTTTGACAAAGTGCTCAGGTCAGTACATTGGATATCAGATAACTAGGTGGAAAGGAAATTCACTTAGACTCAGACTCCCTCATCTACACAGAAATATTTCAACAGCTCTTCACCAGAAGAAAAAGTATATGAATAATTTGAAAACATTTATATTTGGCTTTACAAACTACCAGGGCAAACAGCTCAAGAGGCAGGGCCACCTGTGTGTCCTTGCTCCTACATACTGGGCCTCATTCAGGCTCACACTGGGCCTGGCTGGGCTTGGCTCAGGGTCCAGGACTTGCAGAGAAAAAGCAGCCCTCTAGGGTAGCTAAGCACTACTTGTTTCCTTGATAGCGGCCTAAGGCCATTGTCATTGGCACTGGGACTCAGGTTAGAGCTAGTTTTTTCACAGATAATATTGCATATAAGGAAATCTACACATGTGGACACACTTGTACATAGGGCACACTGACATTATGGGTTTTCCCCCCTAGTACTTCTGACCAAAAAATATGAAGAAATAAAAAATAAGGAGTGAAGTTCATGATTATTAGGATTGCAGTTGTGACTACAGATTATTAACTGTGTGTAGAGTCTAATCACACTTGACTTTCTGTTGTCTGTCTTCTAAAAGAAATGTAAAAGTGGAACATTCTACACATTCTAATTGCCCAAAATTTTCCCTTTGTGAAACTCACCAGATTTGCAAAAGATGGCTCTGTTTGAAGAGGAGAGTGAGGAACTTCATTAGCATGCTTTGTTGGCATTAATAATTCAGAAGTGCCCTCTATCTTCTTTCAGATAGGCAGATGGGTCCACTTTAATGTGTACATGGGCAGCAGAGAGGAGGAGAGGACATTGACCGCAGTGCAAACCATGGCTGTCCCACACTCAAGGATGAAAGCTGCCTCACTAGAGCTGCAGCCCTTGAACATTGCAAAGTGTGTTTTGAGCAAATGGGTCATAGTCTGTTGACATCTTAGATTCCTGATCAGGCTGATTTTTCCCTTCTCCCAAATGGCTGCATCTTATCTAACTAGCATGTGTGAAAGTCAATTTATTTTGTAATCAGAAAGCTATGGAAATAAGCTTACTTTGTGATTTAATCTTTACTCATGGAAGCACTAATAATTAAAAATTAGTCTAAAATTAAAAAAGCTTTTCTTGCACATTTTTGATATGTGCCATGAAGGCATTAAGATATCACGGATAAGTGGTCCCAAATATTTTCAGCACTTGAAAAATTTTAAAAAATAACATTTCTTGCTGAATTCAGCATTACCATGGTAATGAAAAAGTTGGGAATTAAAGTGAGTATTCCTTGGAAAGAGATATTTTTCTGGGTAAACAAAGTCTCAGTAGCAACAAATCAGTGAGTGTTCAAGCCACAGTCAGGGCTTCCTAACAAATGTCAAAATTCAATGAGAAGTGATGTATTTTGCTGGTGTTAAACAACTGCTGAGGGCCTGTAAGGTGTTATACAGTGGAAGAGAACAAGTTGATGTGGCATCATTATTGCAGCTAAATACATTAAATAGAAAAAGTGAAAAGAACCCAACCACAATATTGAAAAAGGAAGAAAAGTGTTGCATATTTAGCCACATCATCTGGCTTAGCTCTATCAAGGCAGACTCTGTGCAAATGATGACTGAGCACATTGTTAGGGTTTTTGTGCCTTGGTTTGCTGCTGTCACTTAGAATTGTAGGATCCGTTGCACAACAGTGATCCTTGATTTAGTGTTAGAAAGTCCTGGGGGCCCATGGGACTCTTTTAGGATATGTGCTGATATCTTTCTTTCCAACAAAATATCTGTGGAAAGCCAGATTTTTTTCATAGCCTTCATTCAGAACAATGTTAAATTGAGTGGAAGCAAATGTGCAGACCCAGTGTCTTGTATTAAGCAGGAATTATAGAGGTCTGCAAACATGCAAAAAAGTGTCACCCTTGTCACTAACTGCTTATTGTATTAGAAGATGAGTTTTTTAAAAATAAAAACTATATTGGTTGTTTATGTTAACTTATAATGATTTGTTATTTTAAATGAGTTAAATCTTAAAATTTCTGCTTTAGTTTCTAATACTATGAATGTAGAGAAATATAATTCATAAAAGCAAAAATTTTTTTTAAGTTTTTGCACCCATGTGTGAGTAAAGAATATCATTTTGTACCTGTAAGCATGGATTATTATCAATGAACAAAAGATCAAATATTTGTGAGAATGTGTGTGTATGGAGGGAGAAGAAACCCTCACACACTGTTGGGGGGAATGTAAATCGATAGTCATTTTGGAAAACAACATGGAGGCTTCTCAAAAAATTAATGCGCCAGGGATTTAGCTCAGTGGCACTGCACCTGTCTCACAAATGCAAAGTCCTGAGTTTGATCCTCAGTACCAAAAAAAAATTAAAAATGCAACTACCATGGGATATAGAAGTTCTAACTCCAAAGGAAAGGAAATTAGTACAATAAAGAGATATGTGGAGTCCCATATTCACTGCAGCATTATTCACAATAGCTAAGATATGGAAACAGTATGAGTGTCTGTATTAAACAGCTTTTCAAAATTTCTTTGGTCAGTGACAAGATACCCGAGATGCATAATTTGAAGAGGAAAAGTTTTATTTGGTTCACAGTTTTATCCATGGTCAGCTGGTGCTGAGGAAGAAACATCATGCATGGCAGAAGGGCATGGTGTAGAAAAACTGCTAACCTCATGTCTTAGTTACGTTGCTTGTCACTAGGACAAAATACCCAACACCCGCAACTTAAAGGAAGATTTTATTTTAGCTCTCACTGTTAGAGGTTTTGTTCCATAGTTGGCAGGTCCAGGGCAGAAGAGGCCTGGGAAAAGGGCCTACCTTTGAGGAAAGCTGCTCAAGTCACAGTGGCCAGGAAGCAGAGAGTGAAGGGAGGAGCTGGTAAGGAGGATTAACCTTCCCAGGCCAGGCCCCCAGTGATCTGCTTCTTCAGACCAGACCCCAACTCTGAAAGCAAGTCAGCTACAAACCCCAGAATCCAATCACCTTCCAAACACACTGCGCACCATTTTAGATCTAAACCATAGCACCCCATGGTAGCCAAGAAGCAGAGACCAGCAGGAAGAGTCAGAGAGAAAGGACCAGGACCAGATATGGTCCCCAAGGCCACAGCCCCATGACCCATCAGACCACCCAGAAGTGTGCTTTCCCAATCTCCTTGCCTCTCTCAAGCCAATCATGTCCATGGAAATGACCCAGCACAGTACCCACCAACAACGAATGGGAAGTAAAAATGTGCTCTACAGATGCAGGGGAGTGCTGTTCAGTATTTCACATTTTTAGTTTGTACTATGAAATTTGAAGTATGCGTTGATATCATGCAAGGAAAAATCTACCTGACTAAGCATGCCTGATTAGATTTACACAACACAGTCTTTCAGGTGGAGGCTGTGATCCAATGTGAGCCTGGAGGAGATATCTCGGCGCTCTTCAGCCTGAGCCAATGGCATCAGAGAGGAGCTGAGGCAGGAGAGGTGGAGTGCAGAGGGTTAGACCTTCAAGATCTTTGCTGAAAACTCCCAGTCCGGGTAACTTGTCCTTCCTGTCTGGGTTATTGCCACTGTCCCCTTTCTTTCTCTTTGGTACAACTTGTTTTTCCAGTGGCTTTTATTTGGATTTTAGAAAAAGAAGAGCTCAGTCTTTTTTTTTTTCTTTCTGGTACTGGGGATTGAACCCAGGGCTTTCAAACTGAGTACATCCCCAACCCTTTACTTTTTGAGACGCTAGGTTGTCCAGGTTGGCCTAGAATTTGTAATCCTCCTGCCTCAGCTTCCAGAGTATTGAGATTACAGGTATGTACCATCATGCCTGGTGGTGTTTCACTGTGTTGGTTGGGCTAGTTGTAAATTTCTGGGCTCAAACCATCTTCCTGCCTCAGCTTCCCAAGTAGCTAGGGCACATAGTACACATACTTTTATGTGTTTTCAACAACAATATGTGTGCAGTTTTAAATCATTTCTTTTTAAAAATAAAATTTCTTAGATTTTTTAAGCTTTTAGTTAAATATATTACCACTTTTAATAGTTATATTATAATTAACTGAATCTTTTCATTACTGATGCTTAATTGGGTGTTTTCTGATCATTTGGGATCATAGTTAAAATCAAACAAACCAACTTGTTGCAGATGTAGTGTGACAGTCTTGCTTGTCAACTTAATTGGCTTGAGAGACACCTAGAGACTGGAAAGCCCCCTCTGGATGTCTGTGTAGGTCAGGGCACGACCTTGGGGACTCAGCTCAGCTCCTAGCCCTTTCCTCTCTGGCTTTTCCCATGTGCTCTGCTTACTGGCTAACATGAGCTTTTCTAGGCCATGTTCTTCTTCCATGATGTTTCTGCCCTGGAGCCAGCCAACCATAGACTGAAAATTCTGAAACTGAGCCAAATAAACTTTTTTTCCTTTGCTTGTCAGGTATTTTGTTCTAGCAACAGAAAAGTGACTGATGTATGTGACACTTTTTTTTCTTTTGTAAAACTGCCAGACAAATACCTAGATGGGCTAGGAAAGTTCTTATAGGTTTTGAGTTCTGTGTTCATTTGCATGAGACAGTTCATTTGCATGGAGCATTTTGTGAAAAGAGTAACTAACGGGGGATTTAAGGAAGTATATGATCTCTGTCATCCCAGGGCTAGGCTTGGTCAGACTGCAATGCTTTTCAGGAACTGGCTTAAGGCTGAGTCTGTAGAGGTGTTACATGAGTTGTGTTTCTAGGGTGTAACTGAGGCTGGGAGCAGGGAAAGCTCTTGATGGATGGAAAGAAGCAAAGGTGCTCTGGGATACAGCTCGGCACTGTTGGCTGTTATCAAGCTGGCCTCAGCAGAGCCCACTGTTTCTTCCTATGTTTATGGTAACGTTGATGCTACTTCCGTTTCTGTCTCTAATTCCCTTATTCCAGCTACACTGAGTGTGTGATTTTTGAATCTGGGTAAGAACCTCTGCTGCTTATTATTCAAAATATTCCATTTTTGGAAGAGTTCTCAGTTCATATTATAGACAGCTAAGCTAGTTAGAAAATATTGATAAGGCAGTTACACTATAGAAATATTTTATTATTTAAACTTAGTATTGCATTAAGACATCTTGATTACTGAACAGCAGATGGTATACTGAGGGTTATGTGACTCAATTTTCTGCTAACAAGTGACCCTTGAATTATAGTGGCAAGTTGGCAAGCACAGCTGACCTGTCCAATTTGCCTGGAAGTTTTCTCCAGGGTCATTTCTCTTGCATGTTCACACATTTTTTTGTAGTTTTAAGTGCATTGAAAATCGGATAATAGAAAGATTACACCGTGATTTACCTGCTGTGTTGAGGGGAAGTCAAACTACCTGTCATGGAAGAATGGCAGGTAAGAGACCTCACATTTCTCCTCACTCAGCACGGCTTTCCCTGAAGCAGTCTGCACTGGAGCATTGAGCTCCTGATGTTCTTGGAGAACAGGAGTCTGGATGCCACCTCTGTCACCTCCCTCCCTATGCTGTCCAGCAATCTAAAGAGTGTCCAGCTGGGAGGCTGAAGTACAAGGGAAGGAGTGGACTCTGGGTGTCTGCAAGAGGTCAGTTAACAAAAAAGAGGACCATTGATTTATCCTCTGAGAATAGTGTCTGGATCTTTAGCATGAAGGCAAGGGCAATTCATGCCAGCTTTCCCAGAAATAATTCCTGCAAGTCCTAGCTTTCACTGTGTGGGAATTTTCCTTGGTTTGGATAGAGAAGAAATCAAGGATTTTGATGTTAAAAATGCTACCCTCATCTATAAACAGTTCTTTCACTCCTCTGTTTGAAGTTTTTGCATCTGTTCTTTTGTCCTGAGCTGTCCAGGGGGGAACCCAGGGCCTTGTGCATGCAAGGCAAACATTCTACCATAGAGCTGCATCCCTGGCCGTTCTAATGGCTAGACAGGGTTTTACTAAGTTGTCCTGGCTGTCCTCAAACCTGAACTTGCAGTCCTCCTGAATTAGCCTCTTGAGTAGCTGTGATAATAGACATGTTTTATGAGTTGAATGAGACTTTTGACCTGACCAAGTAAGGGACAACATGCTATACTGTCAAGATTTGTCAAATTTTGAAATTAATGTTGTTGGCTGTTGAGAAACTGTTATTTGATAACTATTTTGGTAAATTTTCCAGATTTTGTAGCTAACTGATGTTTTTGTAGATTTTTAATAGATTTTCTAGACTATAGCTAAATAACTATGGCATTTTCAGGGAAGCTAACCTTTGGGCATTATGGTGGGTAGGCTGTGCATGTCAGTAGCTGCACCTGGGGTATACAGGAAGCAATCTTTGTTTTCCCACTGATAAGATGAACGGCAAGCTGTGTGAATATGTGCAAAAGTGTCAAAACAGGACTTTTACCCTCATAATGCTCTATGTCACATTTTTTGTCTATGTTTCCCTGGGAATCATGTGGGGTAAAATACACCCATACCAGTCTTCTGTCCTGCAAACATCTAGTTTACCATAATGTAATTCTGGTGTGGCTCACAGTAATTGTCCTTGGGAAACTAGGAACCCACCTGTGCATTCACTCCCTTGGCAGATGAATGCTAAGGTGTGTACAGGAGCTCCAAAGCAGGAACAGGTGAATTTTACCCATGAAATGCTCATTTTAAAATTTCTGTGCATTTTAGAATTTGTTTTTTTAAAAGTTTCTTTTGATTTTTCTTTAGAAGTATCCAAATTCATTACAATGGTGCATGGAAAACCAGATTTGCAAGTTTTGGAGGAGGTTGAAAGTGAATCATCAGGTGACTCATGCATTGATGATGATGATGATGATGATAATTGATGTTGGCCGTGTGAGCCAAAGTTCCTGTGATGCTGAAATGGAGCAAGAATTGACTGATATAGACACAAGGAATAAAGACCTCCCTGATTCAGATGATGAAGAAAACAGCAATCTTAGTACATGTATGACTAGTCCAAATGGTACAAAATGGTCATGAAACCAAATGAAATGATCCAATGTTAGAACTAGGTCCAAAAATATAGTGAGGATCTTGGCAGGGTGAATCCAATTGGATGGAATGTCAGCACTACCATTCAATGTTGGAAATTATTTGTAAGAGAAAAAATGCTACAAGATGTTGTGAAATTCACAAATGATGAAATACAAGTAAAAAGTTCTTTATGCATTGATAACCATACTAAAAAATGTGTTTATTGTGACCTCTTACTAGCTGAACTGAAAGCATTCTCTTACTTTCTGAACTGAAAGCATTCATAGGTCTGCTGTACTTAGCAGGGCTTTCTCATGATAATTGCAGGAATTTAAAAGCTTTATGGAGAAGTGATGAGTGTGTTTATAGAATAACAATGACACTGAGAAAATTTGGTTTCCTTCAAAATTGCCTGAAGCTTGATGACAAAACCACTCACCAAGAAGGAGGAAGAAATGATAATTCCGCTGCTGTCCACTCATTGTTTGAGAGTTTTGTTTCAAATTGTCAAGCAATTTATGCAACATCTGAACACATGACTATTGATGAACATCTTGTAGCTTTTCATGGTCACTGTAGCTTTAGGCAGTATATGCCCCCCCAAATTCTTCAAAATATGGTATATTTTGAATATATTCCTTAGTAGATGCGAAGACATTTATAGTTTCAATTTAGAAACTTATTCTGAACTCAGTCACCAGGTTTTTATTTGTATTGTAATAAAACTAATGATGTTGTGAACAGGCTTGTTGGTCCCATCTCCCAAACTAATTGGAATGTGACATTTTGAATGGGAAAATGCTTCCCTACAGTTAAAGCCAGACTTACTGATGGGGAAGTCCCCCTACCCCCACTCTCTCAACACATTTGAGCTTGCCTAGCTTGATGCTACCTCACAAATATCTCAGGAATTTTCTTTGTTCTCAAGCAGTTTCTACCTTCCCACCAGATGTAAATGAGATGTGACTCCATGCACTGTAATGCTTGATAACCAGTGAATTTGCTTAAACCTCTATAACCTGAACTCTTTGTAACCACTGAAAAGAATGTAAAATGTCTGTAAACCCACCCTCTTCTGAGAGTATATCTTGCCCTGTTCTACCTCAAGGGGGGGTCAGTCTCTTGGAATGTGAACTCATGCTGACCCACCAGTGCTGAAAAATAAAGTGTGCTTTTCACTTTGGCTCGGAGACTTCCGGTATGCTTTCCATCCTCCCAGACTGCCAGCATGGAACCGAATTTTCTGCTTCAATTTTATTGTAGATAGGTAAGTTATTTAGATATCTTATAGGCAGTTAGGGCTGGTCATTGAGGAGTCAACATGGAGGACAATCAAAATACATTCACTGAAGACCAGCGTTATAAAAAGAGAAACTTGCGGGGAAGCCACCCCATCCAGCCCGTGCCAGCCAGGCACATCTGCGGATGCCACAGAGTGGTCTCCTGTCGCAGGAAACCCGCCCCATCCAGCCCGCACCCCAGGCAGCGATCCACTTAGCTGCGAAGGTGCCTGCAGGACCCCCGCCCAACTCCTCTGGCCTCTTAGCTGGACTGCCACCTGGTTCCGCACTACAGAGACACAGGGCACACCAGACCAGCAGACCACCATACTGGGTAAGTTGGAGGGATCATCACCTCCCATTGGAATCGGGACTATCTTCAGGGGAAAGGCAGCTGGAACCTGCAGTACAACCCTACAGAGTTCCACCCTGCAGGAGGACAGGGAGCTCACCTTGGGACTTGCAGCCAGAAATCTGCCTGAATCTCACGGGTCTGAGACTGGCTTGCTGAGACTCATTGACTTATATGTGCACACTGCTACCCATGTTGTCTCTTGTGACAGCAGAGACATACCCTGAAGGAGGCCCTTCATTTTCATTTTTATTTTTTATTTCCAAAATTAGTATTATTGATTTTTTCCTCCTCTTATTTTTAATTTTTTTCCTACTCTTTGCAAACTTTTGTTTTTCTCTCCTTTTTTTCTCCTTTCTTTTCTTTTTCCTTTCTCTCTCTCTTACACTCACTCTCTTGCTGTCCCACATTGTTCATCTCCCTTTTTGTTCCTGTTGTGGCCCTCATTCAGATTTCTTCTTTATTTTTCTATTATTCTCTTTTTCCTTCTCTCGCCTGTGTCCTCTGGCCTCACTGCTAACCTTCCCTATCCTTCTACCTATCTATCCCTCCCTCCCCAACTCCTTCTAACTCACATCCCGAAGGGTAAAGTTGTTATACTGAAGAGTTTATTCACTATAAATATATGTTGGGTTGGTCATCGATTTTGATTTAATTTACACAGTTAAAGGTGATAGATTGATAACTACCACAAAATGTCATTTTCTAACATGTACTTGGTGCTATGGTGTTGTGGACTGTATCACTTGGGCTAAGGTGCTGTTATTCATCTAATCAGTGGTCCTGCCAGCTATAATGAAAATGAGATAGCCTCAGAGTCATTAGAGGTTCAAAACTTAAAGACCAGCTATATCTGGAAGTCACCTCTGAGAAGCAATCTAAGGGTTCTAATTATAAGCAACAAAGATACTTACAATAAGCACTTTCAAAGTATCAACCCAGGAGTTAAACCAAAGGCAGTGCCCCCCCAAAATATAATAATAATGAGAAGACATTTAAGCAAGGTACAAGTTCAGATTTCCACCCCTCCAAGGGTAAACCCCCGGGTAAATGAGGTGGAAAGGTCTGATAATCAACCACCTGGACACCCTGAACTGATATCACAGGAAGTAACCAAACAGATGAATGAGGAGGCTCTACAAAAATTCAAAGCAGAAATAATCTCCCAGATATCTACAGAATTGGTGAGCAGAGTGAAAGACATGATTAGAGGATCTAGAACAGAAACAGATAAAAAATAGATGAGCTCAGAAACATTCTGGAAGCCATGAATACCCAGCATAAGAAAGAAATGGAAACCATGATTGCCCAACATAAGAAAGAAATGGAATCCATGAAACAGAGTCAAACAGATATTCAGGAGATTAAAAACTCCATTGAAAGTATCCAGCAGATTAAAGGAATCTAAAGACAGAATATCAGATATAGAAGACAGATTGCAGTTAAGGACAATGAAAACAGAGATTTCTTCAAAATAGTAAGGGACCACAAGAAATCAATCCAGCAGCTGCTAGACGATGCAAAGAAGAATAACATAAGACTACAGGAGTCCATGAAAAAACAGGAGAAAGTACAATTGAAATAAAAGAACTGTTCACAGAAGTAATAGTAGAAAACTTCCCAGACAGAGGTAGAGAATTGGACATATAGAAAAGTGAGGCATATAGAACTCCAACTAGCCATGATCAAAAAAAATCTACACATAGACATGTAATAGTCAAGATCACAGAAACCCAACAGAAGAACAAAATCCTACAAGCATTTAGAGAAAAGAAACAAATCACTTACAAAGGAAAACCCATTAGAATCACAGCAGACGTCTCAACACAAACCCTCAAGTCAAGGAGAGCCTGGACTAAAGTATTTCAAGCCCTAAAAGAAAATATCTTACAACCTAGACTGTTGTATCCTGCAAAATTATCTTTCAAAATTGATGGAGAATTTGGATACTTCCATGACAAAGAGCATCAGAGAAATTTCATGAACACCAAACCAGCACTACAAGCAATTCTAAGCAATATCCTAGAAAAAAAACAATGAAGGTCACACTTCCATGAGGCCCAACAGAGGGAAACCACCAGGAAAGGTAAGAAACTAAAGGGAAAGGGGGAAAAATAAATGAAAGAGCCAACAAAAGTAAAACATCATGACAAGGATGAATCAATATCTATCAATTATAACCATCACTGTTAATGACCTCAATTCACCAATCAAAAGAAATAGACTGGCTGAATAGATTAAGAAGCAAAATGCAACAATATGCTGTATACAAGAAACACACCTAACTCAAAAAGAAATTCATAGACTGAAAGTAAAAGGATGGAAAACAGTTCTCCATGTCACAGGAACCCAGGGAAAAGGAGGGGTGGCAATAATATTTGCAGACAAAGTAGATTTGAAACCAAAACTAATTGAGAGACAAAGATGGTCACTATATCCTTGTGAAGAGAACAATCCAAGAGGAAGAGATGACAGTCATAAATATATATGCATCAAATACGAATGCCCCCAACTATACAAAACAAATATTAATGGACACGAAAAGCCAAAGAAGCTCTAATACAATTGTAGTGGGGGATCTCAACACCCAACTATCACAAATAGACAGATCATCTAGACAAAAAATTAACAAGAAAATTCTAGAACTGAACCAAGCTACTGAACAAATGGACTTAATAGATGTTTACAGAGTGTCCCACCCCACAAAAATCAGAATACACATTCTTTTCGGCTGCACATGGGTCATTCTCCAGAATAGACCACATGCTAGAGCATAGGACATGTCTACGTAAATGTAAAAGAATTGAAGTTACCTTGGTATATTATCAGACCATACTGCAATAAAATTGGAAATCAATAACATAAGAAACTGCAAAACCCCCACAAAAACATGGAAAGTGAATAACACCCTCCTGAACAAACAATGGGTCACAGAGGAAATTAAAGAAGAAATTAAACAGTTTCTACAAGTAAATGAAAATGCCAGTACAACATACAGAAATCTATAGGACACAATGAAGGCAGTTCTATGTGGGAAATTCATAGCAGTCAATTCCTATATTAGGAAAACAGAGAGAACTCAGATAAATAACCTAATGCAGAACCTCAAGCTCCTAGAAAAAGAAGAGCATAACAAACCCAAAGCT